TGCACTGATACCGGAGTACTTTGGATGGGCCCATCTCTTGCACACTTCGCACTCAATTACCTTAACTACGCCTTTCTTGCATTCCTTATTGAGACATCGATAGGATACTCGTGACATAATTCAACCAAAGACTACAAACAGAAATTCGTAATACTCCTAGGAACGTAAAACTTCGGGTAACAAATACACAGCAAAGACAAAAAGGGTAAAAATGATGCGAGAAATAGTTACTTCGGAGAATGTAAACCCCGGATAACTAAAGATAAATTTGCCGTACTAAAACTGCGTCAAAACCTGTGAGATATCTGACGTTATTTCACTGCAACAACGATAAAGTTAGCCAAAACACAGAGCACTTCAAAATTTCAAACCGCGCGGCACTCACGTCAAGGTCAGGTCAGGTTGCCCACGACTGAGAATGGCCACGGCCAATCGAGCGTCCAGATTTCTTTTGGCAGTATGCTCACAAGTTGTGCACCCACCACTGCGACTTGCCTTCAGTACGGCGTCCTTGCTGAAAGGGAAAAGAAAAAGCTCGTCTCCTTTCACCTCATCGGCGAACAAGGGACATGGATCCTGAAGGCGTTCCATATTGTAATAAAGATCCTACTTTGGAAAGAGCTCTAACCATCGCTCATCCAGGGCGCGCTTNCTTCCTCTGGCAACCGGTTCCAACTGTTCACTACTATGTTGCTGAAGAAGCTGGATCTAACAACCAGGTTGCAATGCTGCTTATGTAGTTTATACCCATTCCCTCTAGTTCCTTGGTGTATCGCCTCTTGGAACATGCCCTCTTTCCTTACTCCCGAGAGCCCTTTTACAATCTTAAAGGTCTCCAGTAAGTCTCCTCTTAGTCTCCTTTCTAGCGAAAAGAGTCCCAAGTCTTTTAGCCTGTCTTGGTATGACTTACCTTTTTGGCCTTCAATCATTTCGGTGGCTAGTCTTTGAACTTTCTCTAAACAGGCTGCATCCTTTTTGAGGAAGTGTGCCCAGGCCTGCACACAGTACTCCAAGTGCGGCTTAACTATGGCTTTGTACAGGGGGAGGAATACGTGGGGTTTCCTACACGACAGTACCGACTTGAGCTTGAACAGCGCTCTCCTCGCCCTCGTTGCAGCCAGTACGCACTGGTTCTCCCAGCGGAAATCTGCCGCCACCGATATTCTTAAGTCTCTGCTGGTTTTTACAATCCTTGCAGTGAAATCCCTTCCACCTAAATGGATTGACAACTGTTCATCAGCACGAGAAAGTAAATTACTTTTCTCTGCATTCAATGGGAGGTCCCATACTGTTGCTCATTCCGTTGCTCTACGCACGTCATCCTGCAATTGCTGCCGGCTGGCTGATCCCACTATCCTGACATCATCTGCAAAGGTGAAGCATGGTGAACGTAG